TGCACGTTATAGCTGAAAACCCAGAATCAGACAGGTCAAGTAACTTGTTCAAGGTCACAAGACTATGAACAGAGAACTTTTTAGCTCACTGACTCCAGATTTTCTAGCTCAAACACAGAATGATTTTTTTCCAATCCTCTCTCATGCCTCCTAGAATAGTATTGTACTGCATGGTGTAATTGATGACCTGACTCCCATTAATAGATATTCTGAAATAGTTGAGATAAACTACCAGCTTAAATTAATTTTTCCATTATACATTTTGGCAGTAAGAAGTATATTTGGTTAAAAAAATAAATGCCCCAGCTCTTCTGACAGAAATTGGTTTGGTAGAAAAGTAGTAAAAAAAAAAAAATGCAATTATGCTGTCACAAATGGTCCCCAATGAAACAGTTCCCAGGAATGTCCTCTAACACGTAGGCCCCTCAGACTAGCTTATTTTTGGTAGCAGAGTGGCAGGCAGCAAGCACATTTTTAAAATAATAATCCCTGAATGTCCTAGGAACTTATCACATTGAAGAAATGTGGCTGTAGATATGCTTTCATGTACAGTCTTCACCTGTCAAAATGAGATTGCACACGTCTCTATATTGCTACAGTTTTAAGACAGTCACAAACCTTGGTCCTAAGTTTGTGAATTAAAAGGTGTCTAAATTTTTTTTTTTAATCCCCTAAATAATTTGTTTATGACCAGTAAGTTTCCACCAGGTGTGATAAAATACATTCTTTGGAGGACAGCAGAAAAGCCCTGGGTTCTGTACGAACAATGCAGAATGACTCAGACAGCAAAGTCACATGGATAAAGGAGGAAATGCCACAATGCTAGATGGGTCCTCCCAGTTGATTGTTTCTGAAAAATAGCTCCAGTTTAAAAAAAAAAATTACTTTCCTTGATATGGTAAGTAGCCACATAAAAACATTATTTCCCATCTTCTCTGATCTCCAAAGTTGATCTCTCCCTGAAAAGGGGAGAACTTGTTCATGATCTTCAGTTAACTCAGTGAGTCTTCAATGGATCAAGGAAAAACATCTTTGTAACTTTGACTTCATCCTCTTCCATAAAAATAGAGAACAATGGGGGAACACAGAAAGGATGAACTACAGTCAACTGCTGACACCACAGTGGAAGAAATGATAGAAACACAGACATTGGATGAGGAACACCAGGGCCCACAGCCACTGACAGCCATACAGCAGCTGATGTGCATCCGCCAACTAAAAAAATGAATGAGAAGCAATTCTGTCAATTTGAGCAAATGCTGAAAGGCACATCCAACCTACCTCAACCTATATAAAAGAGGAGAGAGAAAAATATTACAACAAATGCTTGAAAAGTCCTCATTCTCAAATCTCACACACACACACACCTCCCACCCCTCCACACACACAAGGTAAAATGTACCCTTCACTAAAAAAAGTCTTTTTTTATGAAGATGCAAAATCTCTTAAATACCAGGACTTGCTTGAGTTGAATCCAAGGATAGGTGAGAGGTGGGAGGGGCTCAGGAGAGTATGTCCCTAAAAGTTCTTTAATGATGTTAATGTATATTCTTCAACTTCCCTAGTGACCACATCCTGGAGGTGTCCCCTGGAGTCACGTCAAGTTTGTTGGATAGAAAACAATCCAGACTACCCTAGGTCAGAATGGTTTCAGAATGACCTTGAAGCTAGATTAGGTATGGTGACCTTGATGTGTCCTCCAAACTAAAGGAGAGTTAGCCTAGGGAGCTCTTTAGAATTGCTTTTTAATTCTATTAAGTTTAGCCCTTACAAATGCTCCATAATTGTTCAGTTGACACTTTTACAGTGCACTAATTTGTCTTTGTGGCCACTGAGTACAATACACAGAATTCTCAGTTATCCTCAAATAACTGAGAGAAAAGAAATTAAGAACTCTGTGTTACAGAGCAACAGGTTATTTTGTGTGGGTGGGAGGGTGATCTTTAAAGAGGACAGCAGAGTACAATCTGTACAATGAGTACTCAATGCACTATGCAGCTTTGTTGTACACCAGAACTGAAGCAGTGTCCATCATCACACAATGCAATGCCATGTGCAGGTAAGTCCACAATGTATGTCCTATTCTAACATCTCCACTGAACTCCAGACTTCTGTATCACATTATCTCCTTGACTGCTCTACTTAAGATACCTAAGAGTCATTTCAAACTAATCCAGTCCAAAAGCAAGCAACACCCCCAAACTGGCTGGTTTCCCAATCTTCATTATGCCAGTAAACCAGTTGTTCATTCACCCAGTTACCTAAGCCAAAATCCTTAGAGTCATCCTTGACTTTAATTTTTCATATCATATATTCTGTGTATCAAAAAAATTATTTCAGGGGTGACTGGTTAGCTCAGTTGGTTAGAGCGTGGTGCTGATAAGACCAAGGTTGCCAGTTGGATCCCTGCATGGGCCACTGTGAGCTGCGCCCTCCCTAAAAGAGTCAACTATGCCATTGTAGCATGAAAGCAGTGTGTGACCAATGAACATGGCTGTTCCCCAATAAAATTTTTTTTAAAAAATTCTTTCAGATGTACTTTCAAAATATACTCCAAATTTCACTACTCCTTTTTACCTCCACCCCCACCATTCCAGTTCGAAGCACCCTCACCGGGTACCAGGACTACCAAAATAGCCTCCTGCCACCGTGCTGCTTGCTCTTGAATCCACCCCGTATAACAGACAGAAGGATACTACTCAAATATAAGTCCACTCATGTTATCCTCCTGCTTAGTACCCCCAACGGCTGCTCATCACACTGTGCAATAGCAAAAATGTTAGCATGCCCTCCAAGTCTTCAATCTAGTTCCTGGCTACCTCTGTGAAGACATCTCCATATCCTCCTCTCCAGCCTATCTCCCCTCCCTGTTACTCATTCCTACCAGGCTGACCGCCATGAGTATTCCCAAGTACACGCCCTCTTCACTCTTCCAGTT